TCCTTCTCTTCTCCTCTCTTCTCTCCCTCTTTCTCCTCTGTCTCTTTCTCCTCTCTTCTTCCTCTCTTTTCTCCCTCTTTCGAGCCAATTCGAGCCAACCAATTCAAGCTACGGCTCATTTCCGAAATTTTACTGTCAAACATGTTGATTAACATTTGTCAAATGGTAAAAAAATAAAACAAGATTCAATCGGTATTGTGGTTTCTCACCTGATATTTCAAAAATGACTAATAATTTTTGAGTTTACACCGTCTAAAATTAAATTTGGAGATAAAAAAGTTACACCTAGAGGGGTGTTTGGCATCAAACTAAAAAAATTATTATTATTATTATTTTTTTCTTTTAGTGAATTTTTTTTTTTTAAATTATGTTTAAAAAAAATTCGTTTCAGATTTATCCTGTGCAGAAGAATTTAAAAAATAAAAATAAAAAACAAAAAACTAATTGTTTTTTACTTTGTATAAAAAAATTCAATAAAGTAAAAAATAATTCAATAAAAAAAGTTACCAACACTATAACATATAAGAGTTTTAGAGACTAAATTTTTTGGTTTCCAAAAGTGAAAATTTTGTTACAAAAGACATATGTAGAGACCAATTTAAATGTCGTCCCGAAAAGTAAAAAATAAGTCTATTAGTAACAAAATTTTGAAAATGTCACTAATAAATACACTTTTAGAGACAAAATAATTTGGTCTCAAAATGGTTTATTTTTTGAAACAAAAAATTTGATCTAAAAAACATAATAATTCATCACTAATGTTCAATTTTCATTGCTAAAAATATAATAATTACACTTTTCGTAACAAAAATATTTACTCTCTAAAAAATAATTTTATCCCTAAATTTTGATTTCCGAAACTTTTATTTTTTTTATAGTGCAACCCCGACCAGTCAGTTAGTAAATGAAATGTTAATATAAGATATAAATCTGCGAAGGAATGTGTTCTTAAATTTGTAAAATATAAATTTTAATTTTAATTTTAAAATATATATTTGTTAGATCAAAGATATTAAGTTCAAGTCTCATTCACCCCTTTATATAATTTTATAGCCTATTTTAAAAGGTCACCATATATGATAGTATATCTCTTCCCCCCCTCCCCCCTCCCCCCCTCTTTTTGAATTAGAAATATTTAAAATAAAACAACTAATTAAATTTCGTAAAGACCAATTTTTTTTTTTTTTTAAAAAAAAATTGAATTTAGTAAAGACCAAAAAAAAAAAAATTTATAAAATTCATTTTTTTTTTTAGTGTACCTTTCTAAATAATTATTTTTAGTTTTTTTAGGATAGTTTAGTTCAAACCAACCTAAAGAGTAAAAATAAGAATTGACCATTACTTAAGTAAAGATGCAAAAAAAAAAAAAAAGTTGGCTTAAAGCCTCTGAGCCATGTAAATGAAATGCTCATTATTAAGCATGATATCCACACTAGATCTATACCTATTTGTAAAAACTTAACTAGCTTATAGATGTAATTTTAAGCCTATCTTTGATACTAACTAAATCTTTTGTGAAATACAGATGAGAGTTATTTAACAAATGGACATTTAGATACAATTATAGATTGGATACCAGGCATGAATGCTTTGCGTTTGAAGGACATCCCAAGCTTCATAAGAACCACTGACCCCAATGATATTATGGTTGATTTTGCAATGGGTGAAGTTGAGAGAGCTCACAAAGCTTCAGCCATCATATTAAATACATTTGATGCCCTGGAGCATGATGTTGTTGATGCACTATCAACCATATATCCCCCAATATACACAATTGGTCCTCTTCAGTTCCTCCTCCAACAAATCCCAGAAAATTACTTGGAATCTATTGGATCAAATCTATGGAAAGAAGAACATGAGTGTCTTCCATGGTTGGACTCGAAAGAACCTAACTCTGTTGTTTATGTCAACTTTGGCAGTGTCACTGTCATGACACCCCAACAGCTGATTGAGTTTGCTTGGGGACTTGCTAATAGCAAGCAAACATTCTTATGGATCATTAGGCCTGATTTGGTCGTTGGTGACTCGGCGATTCTTCCACCAGAGTTTGTGACTGAGACTGAAGAAAGGGGTTTATTGGCTAGTTGGTGTCCTCAAGAACAAGTCCTGAGTCACCCATCAGTTGGAGGGTTCTTGACACACTGTGGATGGAATTCAACTCTTGAAAGTCTTTGCATATGTTGTGTTGGCCTTTTTTTTTTTCCAGAGCAACTGACAAACTGTTGGCTCTGTTGCAAAGAGTGGGTTATAGGGATGGAGATAAACAGTGATGTGAAAAGAGAGGAGGTTGAGAGCTTAGTTAGAGAGTTGATGGGTGGAGGAGAGAAAGGGAAGGAGATGAAGAGAAAGGTCATGGAGTGGAAGAATTTGGGTGAAGAGGCAACAGCTTGTTCTGTTGGGTCATCTTACTTGAATTTTGATAAATTGGTCAGATCTGTGCTCATGTCCACTGGTTCAAATCAAAGTAGTTATGTGTGCCAATTTTCCATCTTACTTTCAATTTCTAAAATAAATTTTTTACTGTCTGGAATAATCATGTGCAAGTATTTCAATGCCATGGGGTTTGGGAAAGGACTAGTAGTTTGATTTGTCATTGTGTCTCATAATTGTATTTTGTGTTTTTCTAATAAAGAAATTTTTCTTGTTAGAATTTTTTTAAAAAAATTTTTGTTTTCTATTTTTGTCATTAAATAATGATATACATAATTTTAATTTTTTTTATAATCCGATAAGCTTCCCTTCAACCTGAATTGGAGGAACCTCTTTCTTACCAAAACATAAAGTAAAATTTAAGTGTAACGTTGATATCATGTGATTGTGTCTGCATGATACTACCAACTAATTATAATCTAACATGTGATTGAGTAAATTCCACTTTTTAATTGTAACCATCAACCTATGTCATTATTGTAACTTTTATGTAACTTTGTTTGGGAATTTGGCTATTTTAGTTAATTTTTTTACTATTTATCTATTTTTGCTTGACTAAAAAAGTTATGTTTAGAAAAATAGTAGGCTTTTTTATAGTTGGTTTGATAGTTATAAGAGAAAAAATAAAAAAATTATGGTTTAGATGTAATATTTTGTCTTATTGACTATTTTAATCTATTTTGTCTTTATTAACTATTTTAGCTCGAAAAGCCAAAAAAAAAAAAAAAAAAAAAAAAAAAAAAAAACAAAAAACTACTTCCCCAAGTAGGATTGAGATCCATACCTGATGAGTAAGTGATAGTATATTATGAGTCATATAAGTCTAAATACAAGTGGATAACAAATACTAACATACATAAGTACACACATACATACACACAAACACATACACATACATACATATCTACATATAGAATGTATGCCTATGTCTATGTATGTATTTTTTTGTTCACATAGATAAAAACCCTAGCACATTTCAAACCAGATCTGCATCTCCGCCACTATTAAGAAAGCGCTAGCTACATCAGCGATAGTGAAAGCTCCACGGTGGTGATAGATCTAGATCTGCATGCCCATACTGTGGAGGGAGGAGATAGAGTGGTTTTGGTGGCGGTGACAGAGAGAGCGGCAACGAAAAAGAGAGTGGAAGGGAGGCGAGTGGTGTGAATGACCCCTATAACATATATATAAATGGGTAGTTTGGTCGTTTTATACTAGCTTGTTTTTATGGACAAAGTGTTTTAGTACCTGGACCTACGGTTAAAGAAAATTTAAATTCGAATTTTTGGCATGAGCGTCTTAATTTAAAATTTAAAGTCAAGATTCATTCATGGAGTGGCCCCACAATAAAAGATTAAATATAAATCATAAATCTAAAATTTTGAAAAATTTCTTTTTTTGTTATTATAATTATTATTTTGGTGCTGAGACTTTTGCTGACCCAAAGGACTATGTTATCCCATATAAGCAACCTAAGAGGGGATGAATTGGGTTTCTAAAAATAATTTCACAATATTAAAAATATTAACCCAAATGATAAATAATTTTTTTTTTTGATAAATAACCCAAATGATAAATAAATAAATTTGCTCAATAACTTATTCCAGTCATTATAAATTTAGAATTGAAAGCAATGGAACGATGGAGGGGCAATGGTGGTTGGATTCCGGTAGTGAGGCATCGGAATGGAGGTGGATCAAAACGCAGTGAATCAAGCCATGGACTCTTTACGATTTTCGTGGACAACCTACCTCAATCAATGGATGTTAGATCCCTGTTCAAATTCTTCACTAAGTTTGGTATCGTGAAGGATGCTTATATACCTTTCAAAAGAAGGGTAGCGACAAACTCAAGATTTGGGTTTGTGAGGTTCGATTGCTCTGTTGCAGCTGATATTGCTATCCAAAAAGCTAATGGGTTGTTGGTGGATGATAGAGAGCTAGAAGTCAAAAAAGCTAGTCATGAAAGGGGTTCACAGGTGGAACACAGTAAAAGGAGATCGCAACCCATGAGCAGATTTTTAGGCACAGACAACATCAGGGGCCATTCGTCAGGTGCAGGGCAAAAATCTTACGCAGAGGTACTAAAAGGAAACACGTCTGTGGTAGTTGGAACTGTAAGCACGACCATGAAGGTTGATGAAGTTGGGCATGGTTGGCTTTATGGGAGTGCAATAATCAGACTCAAGAATGAATATTCCTTGCATGACATTAGGAAAGTTTTGAAGGAGAAAAGGGCTGGATCAGGTGCTAGTCAGAAAGCGAGGTGGGCGTGATGTAATCTTAACCTTCAGTTCCCAAGTGGAGTTGAACTCTAAAATCTGCAATATCAAAGAATGGTTCAAGGACTATAGCCAGTCGGTAGGGGTATGGAAGCCAGATTTTCACTATGAACAAGAGAGGTGTTTGTGGTTGAGGTGCTATGGTATACCACTAAATTTTTGGAACAGAAACACTTTCAACAACATTGGAAATATGTGGGGTACTGTCCTCAGTTTGGATGGAGATACTACTCATCAAAAGTCTTTCGCATATGCCAAAATCAAATTGGCTACGCCATATATGGAGCCTATTAACAAAACTGTATTCTTAGAGTGCAAGGGTCAAGTCTACCCCATCCTTGTGTGCGAAGATCATATTGCAAACATCAATATCTTGAAGCATAATGGTGTTGAAGTTTGCAGCTCCATTGAAAGCTACTGTAGCAAAGAGGAAAAAAATATCTATGAGGAGAATAGCAAGGAGAAGAAAGAAGATGATGAGGTGGTAGCACAGTGTGGTAAGCCTATAGCTGAGCTGGGATGTGTAAATATGGTAGATGAAGATGTGGCAGCAAAATGCGATAAGACTATAGCTGAGCTGGCATGTGTCCATATGGGAGCACTGAGGAAGGAGCCTTCAACTTGTCACAGTAGAGAAAAGGAAAGCACAGTAGTTGAGGAGACACAGAGGGATGGAGGCTGCTGCAGAGAGGAAGGAGTGTGTGTAGAGGTAATGATGCTAGAGAAGTTAGAGCTCAGGCCAAATAGCAATGATGACAATCAGAGGTGTGTAGAGCAAGTTTCTACACCTGGTTTCAACAATAGACTAAATAGATCTAAAGAGGGCACTCAGATTGGCATTAATCTTGAGGTGGATTTGTCACAATCGATTTGTAATAACGTAATTCCTGGTTCTTCACTTAGGCCCAATGATCAGCCCAATGAACATTGTGTTTTAAGGCTTGGTAATATTGGGATCTTGGCCTCTCATAAGGTTTCTCCTGGGCCTTTAATTAATGATGGCCCAAATAGTAAGGACATTTTGAGCCTTATTCATACTGATCATTTTAGGCCATCTGCTAACAACTCTATTTCTCTGCGGAATGCGAAGAATAGAAAGAAAAAAAAGGCACAGTTCAAAGGGTATTCCAAGTTTTCTATACTCTATGGTCACAAAGCTGTTCACAAATCCATCTCCAAATCTGTCATATACAGACCAGCAGCTGCTGCAATTGCACAATTAGACTTGTCTGAGGCTGAATCTAGCTAAAATTACCTCCTCCGAGAAGCCACAACCACTATCCAATTGGGGAAAACTCTTAGGATCAATTTTAATGGGCAGGAAGACGTTGCACTAGCCAAGATTATTGAATTAGAGTTAAAAGATAAGGAGAGAGTTAACAAAGATGGAAAAGCAAAATGGTAAGTTGCTGTGGAAGGGGGATTCTGAGTGTTTTATATGTTTCATCATGAAGCTCTTATCTTGGAATACTAGGGGTTAGGAAAGTTTGTGAAGAAAAGTAGAATCAAGAAGCTATTAAAGGACAGATCTATTAATATTGCTTTCTTTCAAGAAACAAAGAAATCCGTGGTATCAGATATTGCCACATCCCACTATAATACTTAGATTTCATAATTAGAAAAAAATAGTAAGTAAATTTTGCAATGAAAAAAATTAAAGTATAAACTATGAGTCTAATGTGAATTATACCTTGGATTCAAGGAATGACCAAGGAAATGAAAAGGTGTGCTACTTTTTGTCCACCTTTCCACTAATATTTGATGCACTACAGAGTAAAAGAACGACTCTTCATTTTCTGACTTCGCTTCACGCCTATAGATGGATGCCTTCACCCGTTCAATCATTGAATCCCACATCTCATAAACCAAATGTAGACATGGCTGATCTGTGTCACAAAATCTAAGCATCTCATAAATAGGCAATGTGAATGAGAGTATATATTCAATCTTATCCCACCAAACATCATTCAACAACTTTTCCATTACAACAGCTGCTTTCCTAACATCATCTTCCTTGTAAGAAGCCCATTTGTCACTTATCACCATTGTTTGGAGACCATGATATATAAGTTTAAACCTTTTTAGCATAACAATTGCAGATGCAAAGCGTGTATCTGCAACAGAAAGTAGCTTCAAAGGTACAAACTCATTAAAAATAGCTAATCTCATAAGTGATTCATGATGAAATTTTTCACAAACATTACATTATCAATCACAGTAGTGATCCAATGGCATTCATCATAAGCATATGCAGTAACCCCAATTTCGTTTGCAGCATAAATGTTCTTAAGAGCAAGATTAAGAGTGTGCACTACACAAGGTGTCCAAAAGATCTTCGGATAATTACCTTGAATAATTGATCCAGCTGCACTACAAACTGGAGCATTATCAGTAATTACCTGAATTACATTATTAGGACCCATTTCATCAATCACTTCACTAATTAATTTGGCAATATGATACTTGTCCTTGGTCTCACCCTCACAATTAACAGCTTTTATAAACATAGCTCCACCATTATATGCTACCATAAAATTAATGAGAGGCCTCCTTTGTGCATCAGTCCATCCATCAGATACTATACTCAACCCCTTCTCATCCCATGACTTTTTAGTTGGTTCCAATAGCCTTTCAATATTTGCCCTTTCTTTTTGAAGTAAGGCAGTCCCCAACAAATTATATCCAGGAGGGACATACCCAACAATTTGATTCTCAACAGCATATTGAAAAGCATCAATAAAGTATGGATTCCCAGCCAAATGGAAAGGCAAACCGGCTGAATAGAACATACGAGCAATTAAAGAATGTAAATGCTCTCTAGCACTTTGATTGAATACCCTATCTAAAGGACTACTCCCAATTGCCTTTATCTTTCTTGGTGCATAACCTTCCATTCTAAATGTTCCAATATCTTCTACATTGCCGTGGCTAGCACTAATTTGAGAAGATGGAGGTGGTAAAGGAACATTTTTTGGCTTTGCCAATTTTTTCCGGTTCTCAGCTTCTTGATCTACCTTTTGAATTTCAGAAAGAAGATCACTCTTGTTCTACACAATTGCACACACTCTAATTCCATGGCCAGTAAGTAGCAACAAATGGGCTCTAACTCTAGAATATGACCCTTGGTACTCAATGTCACAAAAATTACACTTAAATTTTGTATTACCACTTCCTCCTTCTCCCCTTTTAACTAATTTTGTAACATAGCCCCAAAGAGGAGCATTTTCATCTCCAGATTGATCAATGGAAGGAGCAGAAGCACTTGCAGCAGATGAACCTAAACTGCTTGATGAACTCATTTTCCTATAAGCATAAAAAATAATATTTTTGATTATTAAAAATAATATTTATGATTATTAACATTCTGTTGAGGAATAATGTCCAGTGTGCAGATATTGTCACACCAATGTACAAGTGGATATTTTCCAATTACATTGAATTTCCCTCCAAAAATTGCAAACCATAATAATAATGACGACAACAATGATAAGTGTATTGCAATTGTAAATAATCAAAATGACAACAACTATTGGAGATATATCAAATGTAATATGCAATTGTAAATAATCAAAATGCTTACCAATAGTGGCAGATACATGTTCTATAACATAACAGGAATGACAGAAATTGCATCTTTACTAGGGAAAAAAAAAAAAAAATGAGATGAAGAAGAAGAAACGAAGAAGATGAGAGAAGACGAGGGTGATGAAACAGCGAAGAAGAAGTCGTACCCGATGCCGTGGGTCGAAGTCGAAGACGAGGGTGATCTCTGGGTCGAAGTCAAAGATGAGGGTCGAAGTCAAAGACGAGGGTGATCTGATCTCTGTGTCGAAGTCACCTCTTTGATGAGATTAGGGCAAAACAAACTTCATTCATATATACATTTTTTCTTTTTTTTTATTAAATTTTTCTTAATATTGCTCCGGTACCCCTCAATTTTCCAGAAAATTTGATTTCGGCCCCCGACGTACCCAAAACACACCAAAGGCGTACCCATGCCGCACCCGACTCAGGTAGACGTACCCGACTACTTTTTCCATACCCGGTACACCTGTTGCCGTACCGGTACGGATACCCGCACCCGGTAAGTACCCGTGCTTCGTAGGTTAATTAATTTGTTGTGTAATAATTAGTTTAATTAGCTTAGATTATCTAGTTAGCTTCTTTATTTTGTCTCTCCCTCGAGAGAGCCAACTGTTGTAATAAGTGTACGTGTGTGTGATGTATGTTTTCCAACCCCCATTTGTTTCTCCCTTTTACTTAACCGCTAACGATGGTTAGTTTTAGGGCATATTTTGTTTGGCATACCTTATGCTTCGCATGCATGCATCCATTCATCTGTATTGCATGCACCGGGCTCGGCGCATCATACTAACTAGCATTGTATTTCAATACATTTATTTGAATACATGTACCAAGTTGCATTTCATATGCCATTCTAGAACAGCCGAGCCTATTTTAGTTGCATTTTTGCATGTGTTACATTAGCCATCTTAACACGAGCTAGGATCATGTATTGATTTCTAACTAGTTCTTTGTTTTGGCTTGGAGTACACTGTGAGTGTTTACGCTTTAGCATACTGCATGTGTGTTAATGTTGCCATGAAAGCATGCTTGCCATGAGGCTATTTGCTTATGTGATTAACTGTCTGAATGCCTGTTGGTGAAGGTTGGATTACTTGAATTGGAACAATTCATTAAAATCCGTGTTTTAGCCTACTTGCGAGTAGCAAACTTCAAACTATTTTCCAAACAAACGGATATGCAATGCTTTGTTCCAAATTAGGCGATCTAGTCTATCCTTGTGTGTTGTGCGCATCACATAGTAATTCTAGCTAATTAACCGGAATAAGAACACATGTGTTTTCAAAAACAAGATATCATGTTTAGTACAGGCCGATCTTTGATCGGGCGAGCGAGGGTGCTTATAGATGACCTTCCCTAATCGTACCCAAGTTCCCGAGCCGAGGCAACTTTGGTGATGACGGACACGTGGCCTTAAGCACGAGTCAGGGTTTCCTAAATTTCTCCAAAATAAAATAGTTAGGTGGCGACTCTGTATCTGGCAAAACAGTCCATGTTTGGCACTTCTTTATAAAAATCAGTTTTCCAAAACGATTTGCCGGATTTGGACTCTTTGGTGATTTATCGGTCTTACATCGCACATTGTAAGATTAGATTCAGAACCGTGACATTTGAGTCCGAACTGTGGTAGCTCAGAGAATAAAACGAGATTTCTCTCGCGAGTTCTCCGGAGCGCGTCCACAATTTCTGGCGACTCTATTGGGGACTTAGAGAACTTGACTCGAACTCATGATATCTTGTTTTGACTACACTTATGCTTCTCTTTGCATTGCATTTGCATTGGTGCGCCTAGGACACCGTGTTTGCCGTATGCTATTCCTGAACGGTTTGCCGGAGGCTCGCTTTGAGAAGCGTGCCATAAGGCTGACCGGTTGCGGGCTCTGCCATGATGGGAACACAAACCCCGGTTTTGCCGGGGCACCCTTTTTGACCATTCGACCTAGTGCATATTGGGAATCCATAGTGACTATTCCAAGGTAGGACAGGTTGCTTACCCAATTATAGGTTGTTTGAAACTGCTGTTTGCGTAGTGAAACCCTAGCTTCTGACAAAATAGGACAGGGAAACCCTACCCCAACTTAGGGGTGTTTTGGCTCTCACTTGCTTGTTATGTGCTGTTAGAGTGTGCCTCTACAGGTTGCATATCAGTTTGCAAGTCTGGGTATCAGGCCTGCGGGCATCAGTATTTGAGAATCAGTTATATCTGCGGGTATCAGATTCAGTTTTGGGGCAGTAATTTCGAGAACAGTGATCAGTGGTCGAATACAGTTATTCAGCTATGTTTATGTCTATTCTGGTGAAATTGGGCTGAGATGCTGCTTGTTTTCTCTTTTACTTCAGAGATTCGGTTCAGAGCAACCAGTGTTCTCCTTCGCTGAGGCAAGGTAGAAAAGGGCCAGTCAAGGCTCACCGGTTCATCAGATCCGTCAGCCACCAGTCATATCCCCCTTGTTCAGTTAAGCAGACTCGCGATGACACATAATTCAGAAGAAATTGTGGTCATGGTAGCAGCATTAAACCAGGGAATCGCCATGCAAGGTGAGATCGATGTTGAAATGGAACATCCACCCAGGTCACCTGCCGCACACCCGATCTGGGAACCCTAACCATTTCAAACCCGTGAACCCACCACTTTCGAGCTTATGGGAATGATTGGCGATCTTCAGAGATCTGTAGCTAGTCTAGCCTTTGGAATGTCAGCTCCACCGTCGACCATGTCACATGTTGGAAATTTCATGCCGGAGGAGCCCCCGCTACTGGGGCGAATTGTAATCGAACTCAGCCAACCTGAACCCATCCTAAGTATAGGCAATGGCATGCCAACAACAACAGGACTTCGCAATAACATAGCAACCCAAACCTTCGACGAAGTTAAGGCTAGTAGAAAGAACAAGATGGGGGCAGACACTGATCCTTACGAACAACTTTTGCAGGCTGTTGAGGCTTTGAAAGCCGGGGGACTAAATAAGCAACAGGTACTCGCAGTCGCTGCAAAAACTGTGAATGACACTTTCCTCACTCAGACTGAGGGCAGTTCAAGCCAAGGGGAGAACCGGGAGAAGGGCCGTCATACTGGAAACGATACTGTTAGATCTAATCCTGCACCCGAAAAAAATCAGCAGACTAAGCCAGTGCCTGCCGACCCTTTGCTAGTGCGCCCAGCAAAAATCCACAAACCCCGAAGTACCAACCCTGGGGTCGCAAGGTCTTCCATGCCCTCTATATGCCTTTGTCTAAGGCTCTTCAAATCCTTTTTGAGAAAGGCCATCTCAAACCTCTTGAGCCTCGCCCCCTCTTGAATCCCCTTCCAGTTAAGCATGTTGGTACCCAGTACTGTGCATATCATCAACAAACCGGTCACAGCACCAACAATTGCTTTCGTTTTCGCCACGAAGTGCAAGATTTGATCGATGACGAGGTTATCATCCCACCAAGCTCAGCAAGGTCTATCATCACTGGATCAGTGGACTTGGGGGATAGTACGAGTATGTGATCGGGTGGACGAACCACCTGCGGGCAGCGTTCAGTTTACTCCAGATGTTGCATATGGCACGCACTGTTTTGAGCATTTGGCGAATGCTGTTTATTTTACGTTCTGGCTTGGGTATTGAGTCAGTCCTGTTGTGTTGTTTTGAGTCTGCCTCTTTGTTTTGAGTCAGTCTTTTTGTTTGGGGTCTGTCTTGTTGTATCGAGTTAGTCCTGTTGTATAGGAGTCGGGTGATTCTAGGGATGTTACCTCGGGCATCACTATTTTGTTTTGTGTTTGTCTTTTTACTTTCTTTTGGATCTATTTTTTCCGTGGAGCCAGTTACACCAGAAGATCTGAATGAAACAGCTATGGTTTTCATGTTTCTGTGTTTGCTTCTGCCTTGTGCCAATTGTGCCAGAAGTTCTGAATGAGATGGCAGTATTTGACCGGAAGCTGTGTCTTTTTTGTGCATTGAATTCATTGCATCGACCTAAGTTTTTCAAACCTTTTTGAACATTGTGATGAAAACGAAGAGGAAGGAATTCCTCGGGATTTGTAAAATTTGATCAAACTGAGAGAAAAAGAGGTATGCTAAGCCCTTAATGAATGAGATCATGCTTGTTAGTGTGAGTACTGAGAAGGATCCTGACTTGATCTAGATTGGTTCTACATTGTCTTCAGCGCGAGCAACTAGTCGCTTTCCTAAAGATTTCAAAAAATGTTTTGCGCAGTCCTGCGAAGACCTGTGTGGAATCGCTCTTGACATTGTGCATCTTAGGATTGCTCTCAGCCTCAAGACTCAACCCCTTTGCTTTCAAACCTTGAACTTGGATTCAGAATGTTCAACGGTCAACCACAATATAAGGCCTGTGTGGCCGGATCAGAAGCAGCCCTCGAACTAGGGGCAAGAAAATCAGATCAAGAAGATTAGGTGTCATCAAAAGAAGCTTGTGAAGCTAGATCAGAAGCAACCCTCGAACTAGGGGAAAAAGAATTTCAAATGTGCTTGAAGAGCGAAAGATGAGTCATTTCTCAAGCTAACGAAGATCAGCAAGAATGCTAAATCCCAGAAGGGAGGAAAGAATAAAGTATTGCTGAAGGACAACCAAGTTCCTATCCGCAACACTAGGGGCAAATTTAGCCCCCATTGGATGGACTTCTACATTATCAGCAAATAGCAGCCATTCTCCTGGATTCAGATGGCTTCGAGATCCTAAAACCATTTGACATGGACAAAGCTACACT